CCGACCTCTGGTAGAACATCAGGCCTTTTCTAGATTTCAGAGCACTCATCAACACCAGCTATTGAGTCTACTCCACTCCTTTCTTCCCAGACAACACTAAAGCAAACGTCACAGAGCCTCACAGTGCCATAAAATAGTGACTTTGTGTCATCTAAACTAAGATTCAGTATTCCTTGGCTCTCCTCATCTCCAAGCATGATTTTACAACACCTGAAACAGTCCTTGATTTCTTTCTTCCTTTTTCTTTGCAATGTCTATAGAATATGTCTAAGCCTTTTAAGTTTGTAAGTGAAAATATGCTGAAAATTCTGAGTTTTGTTTAGAAAGCCATTAGTTAAGGCTAGCCAACTCCCTATGCAATCCAGTTTAGAGGCAACTGATGAACTTGTCTACACTGTCCCTGTTAGACCCATCTAAACCATCCATGTTGAACAGTTCTCTGCACTTCTTTCCCTACTATTTGCATAAAACTTTGAGGGGCAGAGGTTAGAAAACGGCTCAGCAACCTTTATATCCACCATAAGAGGCCCAATGAAATAAATTTTGTCACAGAAATTTAATATCATTTAGTATCACATAGCCTTAAAATGGATTTTTTCCAGCTAGCAGTGCTGAAATGGGAAGCACTCCATGAGACACATGCTATGAAGAGAACAACTCAAGGTACAGAAAAATGTGAACAGTGAGACAGCAAACCTTTGTTTCTGAACACACACTTATGTATCTGCATAAATGTTTTATGGACAGATATACAAAAGAACTTAACAATGTTTCCCATGGGGAAGAATTTAAGACCTAACAATCTCAAGAAATATTTTACCATATGCATTAGCAGTTCTTCTTTAAGTAACATCAGATTCATCAAAACTTGTATCTTTCTGTTGAAGGATTGCAATGAATGATTCTCCTTATAAACCTTGCAGTTATATTTTAATACAAAATACAAAATAGATGTGTATTTGTGACCCAAAAAAAGGCCCATAGCCTAAAAGATGCTCAAAGAAATGTACTTTCTAAAATATTAAAATTATTTTAGTAATAGTTAAGTGTCTCTTAAATCCAAGTAAGTTTGAATGCTTCACATTTCAAATTTATTAGAACCAAACATGATCTACTTTTTCACTAAAAAAAAAAAAAAAAAAAAAGCTGTGTAACCTGATGTTCAAGAAAGGCAACAGGACAGGTATGATTGCAAACTGAATGCCTTTCTGGAATCAAGCAGAATGTGCTCTCAACCTGCACGTTCAATATTACACTGACTGACAGATTTGGAGGGTAGGACAAAAGACTAAGAATGAAACAGAACTGAGAACTTCTAACATGACAGTGAATTTAACAGATTCAATAAATCCTATTTGCATATTAATTCCTACTTCTCTCAACTTAAAAATTTTGTAGGCAGAAGTTTTATGAGACTTTTCATGAATTTTAAAATTTAATTCTAATTTAAATTTAATTCTAACTTGTCTTAATTCTAAGTTAGCTTTGCAATAAAGATCAGTCCTCTTGAAGAAATTAAATTTAGAATATGACTAACCTGTCATAATTAACACAAATTTTCTCTATTTTTATATAGCAATGTTTTTCAACACAAACTTTAGATACCCTTAATAAAGTAACATAAAAACCAGTCAAAATTTACAAGTAGCAGATAACTGGGAAAACCTTGGGTACAGTGATAGCTTTTTAAATATAATACCAAAGGCACATCCATGAAAGAAATAATTCATAGTGAAGCTTCATTAAAATTAAAAACTTCTGCTCTGAAAAAGACACTGTCAAGAGAATGTGAAGCCACAGATTGGGAGAAAATCTTTGTAAAACACATACATATAAAGGACTAGTATCCAAAACATACAAGGAACTCTTAAAACTCAACAATGAGAAATCAAACCACCTAATTAAAAAATGGGGTGAAAGATCCTAACAGACACCTCAACAAAAAAGGGACACAGATGACAAGCGCGCATCTGAAAAGATGGTCATGTCATTTGTCATGAGGGAAGCACAATTCAAGACAAAGAGAAACCACCACACACCTACTAGGATGGACAAAATCTAGATACTGACACCACCAAAGGCTGGCAAGGAGGTGGAGCAAAAGACAATCTCATTCATTGCCCATGGGAGTGCAAACTGGTGCAGCCACTTTGGAAGACAGTTTGGCAGTGTTTATAAAACTAAACTCTCACCATGCAATCCAGCAATCAGGCTCCTAGGTATTTACCCAAGTAAGTTGAAAACTTACATTCACACGAAAACCTGCACCTGATGTTTACAGCTGGTCTGTGAATAAACTGATGTTTATTCATAATTGCCAAAACGTGAAAGCAACCAACATGCCCTCCATAGGGTGAAGGGATAAACTGTGGTACAGCCAGACAGTGGAATAGTATTCAGTGCTAAAAAGAAATGAGCTACAAACCATGACAAGAAACGGAGGAACCTTAAATGCATCTAAGTGAGAGAAGCCTACCTGAAAACGCTACACACTGAATGCAACCGAATGACATTCTGGAAAACTATGGGGACAGTACAAAGATCAGTGGTTGCCAGGGGTTCTGGGGAGGGAGGGGGCACAGAGAGTCTCTAGGGCAGCAAAACTCCTGTGTGTGGTACTATAATGGTGGGCACACGTCAGTACACATTTGTCCAAACCATAGAATGCACATCGCGTGAGCCCTCCCAGGTGAGGACCATGAGCCCGTGTAGGTACACAAATTGTAACAAACGCACTACTCTGTTGCGGGTGATGATACCGGGGGGCCGGGGATTCATGAGAACTCTCTGTACTTTCTGCTCAAATTTACTGGGCACTTAAAACTGGATACCTGAAAAATAAAGTCTATTAAAGTTTTTTCTCCCCACCAAACCCATACACACTTTAGACGTATAGATGACAGGCGGGGCGCGGTGGCTCACGCCTGTAATCCCAGCACTTTGGGAGGCTGAGGCAGGCGGATCACCTGAGGTCGGGAGTCCGAGACCAGCCTGACCTGCACGGACAAACCTCGTCTCTACTAAAAATAGAAAATTAGCTGGGCGTGGTGACACATGCCTGTAATCCCAGCTATTCAGGAGGCTGAGGCAGGAGAATCACTTGAACCCGGGAGGCGGAGGTTGCGGTGAGGTGAGATCACGCCATTGCACCCCACCCTGGGCGACAAGAGCGAAACTCCATCTCAAAAAAAAAAAAAAAAAAAAAAAAAAAAAACCACAGTACAGATGTTAATTCTGTAAACAGAAAATCAGAAAAGGAGCTTTATCGAAGGCACTGCCACTGATTGAATCTAGGTGGAGGATATGAGGAAGAATCTCCTATTCTTCTACTTTTCTGCATGTTTGAAATTTTTCAAAATAAGAACTTAAGGCCAGGCGTGGTGACTCACGCCTGTGGTCCTAGTACTTTGGGAGGCTGAGGCCGGTGGATCACTTGAGCCCAGGAGTTCGAAATCTGCCCGGACAACATAACAAGACCCCATCTCCACAAAAACGGGTTTTTTTAATTAGCCAGGTGAGGTGGTGCACGCTTGTAGTCCCAGCTATTACAGAAGCTGAGGGAAGAGAATCGCTTGAGCCCAGGTAGGTTGAGGCTGTAGTGAGTCGAGATTGCGCCACTGCAATCCAGCCTCGTCGACAAGGCAAGACCCCGTCTCAAAATAAAAACTTAACCAAAAAAAAAGTGGGTTTCAGGATTAATTAGGAAAAATGGGAGAACATAGGAAGGCTCAGTTTAAAATTCTCAAGGCTCTATCCAGAAAGAGTAATATGGCTCATCTTTGACCAACATTAGTTATAGTTTCTGCAGTTAACTCTGTAGCCACATATAAATTCTCATCATTACATTCAAAAAGAGAGCTGTTTAGAGTAACTATTTTGAAATTTAAAAAAAAAGGGTAGGTAAGCACTAACACTACCTAAAAGAAATTTCTCAGACAAGTTCAGATAGTAACCATATTTAAGCGCTTAACATAATCGGCTCCATTTTCCATGAGTTGGGAACAGAATTTAACTTTCATAGGAAATGTCTATCAAGAAGAAACAACTCCAGTCCCTAAGAGAAACTCTTCTGCTCGGAAACTATTTCCAAGTCCTCGGAAGAAAGGTACAAATCCTTAGCTTCCATTCAGCCCTAACAGCATCAGGAGGAAGTTGCCAAACGTTTAACAGAAAAAGATATTTTATGACCCTCATTCAAAAAAAAAAAAAAAAAAAAAAAAGCTGGATTTCTGACCTAAATTTCATTGTACATGAAAAAGAGCACTGCAATGGAAAAAGGGGGACGGGGGGAGGGGGCGCACATCTAAGGCACACAGGGCCCACCTGGGAGCACTTTTAATTAAAAAATTCTAGACATACCAAACATATCTCTACACTCGTCAGGCAAAGGCCTGCCTTTCAGTTTTCAGTATAAGGGACTTCTGCCGGCTTCCTTCAGAAAAATCAAGGATTTCAGAAAATACTTGTTATGCAAACAAATATTTAGCCCACTTAACATTGAGCTGCGGTCGTCCAAAGCTGCTCAGTGTCCGCGAGGAGGCCGTCCGGGTGCGCGATGATTCAGGCCTTCTCCGCCAGCTCCGCCCGGGACGCGAGCACCCGGCGTGGACCTCGGCGTCCTGGGCCCACGACGCCCAGCTTGCGGGGTGCGCGCCCTGCGTCCCCGTTCTCCAGGGGCTGCGCCCCGAGTAACACGCGTGGGGGGCACTGGGCCCCCCTGCAATCGACGAGAACGCCGGCAGCCCTGGCCAGTAACGCGGGGAGGGGGTCCACGCGGACCACAGAGGAAACTCAGCCCGGGACCAGCCTCGGGTCAAGTTCTCCTACTCCGCACTCGGGCACCTAGCGGGCCGCGCCCCGGGGCTACGCAGCCCCAACCTCACCTGCGCGCCCAAACTGTGCCCCTAACTACCCGCACCTCCACCTGCGCGCCGCCCACCCTCGCCCTCCACCTGCGCGCCCCGGGCCTACTCGCACTCCCCACCTGCGCACCCCCTCACCTGCGCCTGGGCGGCGGCAGCGGCCGGTGGCGGCCCCCCACGCAGGCCGTCCTCCTCCTCGGGGGGCTCGTCCAGCAGCACCCGGCCCCGGCCCAGCTTCCACATGGTCGGGCGGGCTCCGGCGTCCCTCCGTCCGAGCGTCAGGCTGTGTGGGTCCGCGTCCCTACCGGCCACCGGACGCTCTGTCTGCGGCTCCTGCGGGACGCGGGCCCAGTGGGCCGGGCGGGGCCAGGCGGCGGGCGGGGCGTCCCCCAAAACTAGACCCGCCCCCTCCCCACCACGCCCGCCCCAAACCCTCCCCAGGACCCGGCCCGCCCCCAAACCATCCTCACAACCAGGCCGGCCCCAAGCCCTCCTCAGAACCAGACCCGCCCCCAAACCTTCCCCAGGCCCGCCCCAAACCCTCCCCAAGACCAGGTCCGCCCCCGAACCTTCCCCAGGACCAGACCCGCCCCCAAATTCGACCGGGCTCCGAATCCCATCCCCCACAGACAGGTCAGCCTCGGTCCCCTCCTCCCAGTGCCGTCCCCGCCACCGCCCTGGCGAGACCCTCGCCCCTCGCTGCTCTACTGAGCGACGTCCTCACCCCAGGCTACCCCGTCACCTGGTCCCCCCACCTTGGCCCCCACCTACCCCTAGCTGCTTCCTCACCCGGGAACCCCCCCATCCTGAGCCCTCACCAAGCCCCTGGCCCTTCCCTCTCCCCTGTTCCCTGGGTCCTCCTCTACCCCCGAGCCCCGACCCGGCCCCCGCAAATTCCCCTCAACAGGTTCCCTCCTTCCCCCGCACCGACCCCCACTCATCCCGGGCTCCCCCTCCCCCCACCCGCTCCCCGACCCTGGCCGGAGGGCGTGGCTACGTCCGCCCGGGTCACCAAGGCAACGGCCGAGAGGCGCAGTGCGCACGCGCGCCCCTGACGCTCCGGCCGCCGCTGGGCTGAGGTGAAGGTGGAGAGCTGAGGTGAAGGTGGAGGGCGCAGGATCCGCGGAGCTGCGCCCGTACCCCAGCGCTTCAGGGCATCCCTCGGAGCCTGGGCGCCGGGCCTCCGGGGCGTCCGGGACTCGTCCCCTCTGGCGCCCGAGGTCGCAGGATAGCGGGGGACGCCGAGAGGAGGCCGCGCCCAGCCCGGGTGGGCGGTGGGGCCCCTGGGGCCTGGGGCGCCGCTGACTCGGCCCGGACGGACGGCGGTGGGGGGCGGGGATGGGGTCGGGGTGCCGGGCCGCGCAGACACCCTGGGGCCCCCGCGGAGCCCGGGGTGGGGCCCAGGGCCCGGAGAAAGTTTTCCCGCGTGGCTATGGCTTTGTCAGAGTCCGGAGCGGGAGAGGCGCCCAGATTCCTGAGGACAGAACCGCCTGGTTCCCGGGCCGAAAGGAGCCGGCGAAGCGACCCCCGAGCCCGGGACGGACCCGCGGGAACTGGGGACTGTGGACGTCCGGATCTTCCTGGGCGTCCGCACCCGCCCAGCAAGTTAATTTTTGCCGCGACGCACTTCGTATCGCTTCTTTCTCTCACCAAATACGTATTCATGTGTGCAGTCATGTAAAAGCGCATTTTAAAGGAGGATCCAGAACTATGAGCTCCCTTGAAAAACTGCAAGCTTCGTAACTTTACAACTCTTAAAAAAATGAAATGTACCTTTAGAGTTTCCCAGAAGTGATGAGCAGCAAAGCTTTTAAAATGAAAGGGGCTCTGAATTGTCTTTGGGAGCTGCCGGCCAGGATCCCCGAGAACCGAGGGGGTGGCGCCCGTGCCCAAGGCCTGGGGGAACCTCGGGGCCGTGCGCGGGACGCGCAGGGACTGGGCCTGGCAGGGGCCCCTCAGCCGAGTGGGAAGAGCCAGATACTAATCTAATGGTACTAACCTAACTATACCATCACCCAGAGAGGAGGGCAGCACCCCCACCGACACCCCTACCCCGTGACCGCTAAACCCACCAGCCACAAACATCACGAAATAGAATAAAACACGGGCGCCTACTAAGGACCACTCCACCCAGTACAGACAATTTGAGAGTTCCTCTTCACGCAAATATTAAGAATGTTAAAAATGTATATATGCTCCTTTCAAACAGGCCTAATAAGCCAGACCTCCTGGGCTAGAAGGCTTAGAAAATTGCAAATGCAAGATGGTATGGTGTTTCTCCGGGGTGCTGTCAAAATAAGCACACCGCAAGCACAAATTGATGAAAGTCAAAAACTATCAAACAGAGGTTGCAAAACAAAACCAGGATCCAAACACAGCCCATTCAAAGACGCTACAATTTAAAACCAACTCAGAATGCTTGGACAAATAACACAAATCCCCCTGGCTAATGCGAAGGAACACAGGATTTATGCCCAGACAGCTGGCTTCCTCTCAGTCTATCGACATCCACTCCATGAATTGTCATTAAACTGTAAGCCCCTGCAAATCCACTACAATCTGGAAGAAGGAGAGGCTTGTTAAATCAAAAAGCTAACTTGAATATTTTAGACATTTAGCTTTCTTCTGCAGAAGAGCACAGCTGGTCAGGATATCTACAACCTAAAGGCCTGACACAAATGAGAGGGAAGGGGGTTGGGTGGGAGAGAGAAACAGGTGAAAGGGCTGTTACTGAGCAGCAGGCATTTCTGGAATTTTGAGAACTTCCCCGAGTTCGATGAACTTGACTCAGTTCATTAATTACCTCCTCTATGAGTTTTATATAATTAAGTCATGCTATTGTTAAAAGTCCATAAGAGGCATACTTTACACAATCCAGTGTCATAAAAATACAATTGTTACCACTAAAAATTCATTTGGGATCGAAAAAGTCATGGTTAAACAATCTTTTCATTTACTGAGGCCTCAGTTGGAGGGAGCTATTCATTTTAAACTGAATTGCCCTTATTGGCTAATTTGGCCACTGAAAATTCACTGGTGCAGGAACTCTTAATTTTTTACTAAGTGACGATCAAGTGTGTCATCAGTCTCTGAATTCAAAATGCATAAGGCTCAACTTAGTGAGATTTTGCTCTGGCAAACTTAATTTTAAATAGGAGTGGGGTTTGGGGTGCCATATAGAACTTTCTAGCAACCAAAGCTGTTTAAAAACTACAACAAGTTTCTTATCCGTGGAGGTAATTAGGCAGAGGCTGGATCTGAAGACAGTTGTATCCTCAGTCCTCTCTGACTTTTTAAAAAAATGAATACAAAATATTTTACATATTTAGGGGTACATTTGATATTTTGTTACAAGCATGTAATGTGTAATGATCAAATTAGGATATTTGGGTATTTTTCAATTCTATGTGTTGGTAATATTTCAAGTTTTCCTTTCTAGCTATTCTGAAGTATACAATGCATTGTTGCTAACTATAGCTACCCTACTCCGCTGTCAAACATTGCCTTCTAACTGCATGTTTGTCCACATTAACTAACCTCACTTTACTTCTCCCCCAACACACACACCTTCCCAGGCTCTAGTAACTACCATTCTATTCTCTACCTCCAGGATATCAGGATTTTTTTAGCTCCCACATATGAGTGAGAACATGTGATATTTGTCTATGTCTGGCTTATTTCACTTAACATAATGATCTCCAGTTCCATCCATGTTGCTGCAAATGACAGGATATGATTCCTTTTTATGACCGAATACTATTCCATTCTGTATATGCCCCGCATTTTCTTTGTCTGTTCTTCTGTTGATGGACACTTAGGTTGACTCCATATCTTTACTATTGTGATTAATGCTTCAATAAACATGGGTATGCAAATATCCCTTTGATATAATAATTTCCTTTCCTTAGATATCCAATAGTGGGATTGCTGGATCATATAGTAGTTTATTTTTAGTGGTTTTTTTTTTTTTTTTGAGAAATCTATTGCTGTACTAATTTACATTCTCACAGTGTATAAGCTCCCTTTTCTCCACATCCATGCCAGCATCTGTTATTTCTTGTCTTTTTTTTTCCTTTTCTTTTCTTTTTTTTTTTAGACGGAGTCTTACTCTGTCACCCAGGCTGGAGTGCAGTGGCACGATCTCGGCTCACTGCAACCTCTGCCTCCCGGGTTCAAGCAATTCTCCTGCCTCAGCCTCCCGAGTAGCTGGGACTACTGGCGCATGCCACCGTGCCCGGCTAATTTTTTGTATTTTTAGTAGAGACAGGTTTCACCGTGTTAGCCAGGATGGTCTCGATCTCCTGATCTCATGATCTGGCCGCCTCGGCCTGCCAAAGTGCTAGGATTACAAGCGTGAGCCACCACACCCGGCCTATTTCTTGTCTTTTTAATAACAGCCATTATAACTGGAGTAAGATGATATTTCACTGTGGTTTTGATTTGCATTTCTCATATAATTAGTGATGTTGAGCATTTTTTCATATACTTATTGGCCATTTGTATGTCTTCTTTTGAGAAATGTCTATTCATGTCCTTTGCCTACTTTCTAATGGGATGATTAATTTTTTTTTTACTGTTTAGTTGTTTTAGTTCCTTGTGTATTCCAGATATTAGTTCCTTGTCAGGCGAATTGTTTGCAATATTTTCTACCATTCAACAGTTTGTCTTCACTCTGTTAATTGTTCCCTTTGCTATGCAGGAGCTTTTTAGTTTGGTACCACTTGCCTATTTGTGGTTTTATTGCCTGTGCCATTGTGGTCTTAGCCATAAAATCTGCATAGACCAATGTCCTGAGTGTTTTTTCTGCATTTTCTTCTAGGAGTTTTATAGTTTCAGGTCTTACATTTAAAGCTTTATCCATTTTGAGTTGATCTTTGTATTTTGGGAGAGATAGGGGTCTAGTTTCAGTTTTCTGCATATGAATATCCAATTTTCTTAGCACCATTTATTGAAGAGCATGTCCATTCCCCAATGTCTGTTCTTGGTGCCTTTTCAAAAATAATTTGGCTGTAAATACATATATTTATTTCTGGGCTCTTTATTTTGTTCCATTGGTGTTTGTGTCTGTTTTTATACCAATTCCATGCTATTTTGATTACTATAACCTCATAATATATTTTAAAGGCAGGTAGTGTGATGACTCCTGATTTATTCTTTTTTACTCAGGATTGCTTTGGCTATTGGGGCTCTCTTCTGGTTCCACATGAATTTTAGGATTTTTTCCTATGAAAATTATATTGATGTTTTGATAGGGTTTTCATTGAATTTGTAGATTTCTTTGGACAGTATGGTCATTTTAACAATATTA